TAGGCTGTCCCTCTATTTGTTTGCCCTTTTAAAAAGTTTTAAAAATTACAATTAATTAATTGGTTGATTTGATTAAACTGCATTTAACTAATATCATCACATACATTTTTCGTCAATCAATACTTCTATTCGATTAATCCTACCAAATGCACCAAATATTTCTTGTAAATGAGCTTCTTTGACATTTTTTGTTAATTTATTAACCATAATTTTTGTAGAAAGTACAGGCGACAAAGAGGAATGTCGTTGTCTATGTGAAGAAGTATAACTATGATGACGTGAAGAAGATGGCGGTAGTGGCAGAAGAGTTACAACCTCTTGTTATTGTTGATGCTCTGCTGGTGATCTATTTTCTCTACGACTAGAATAAGAATAAGAATGTTGACTTCTTTGAATGTGATACAGAATGTGGAGGTTGACTCCTTTGATCAACCTTTACCTTCCGATGTTCCCGTCATATATCGATCGATAAATTGTCAGGTTTTAAAAAATAAAATCGCTAATATTAATAATAATAAACATAGAAACATACATTTTACATGTTATCGATGTATTTAAGCTTTTTTAGCAGCAATAATAATTGGGCAGCAACAATAATGGTAATTTTATAGCAATAATAAAAGTCAAATAATAAGACGTTACCATTTTAAGAAAATCATCACTTTTTGATTAAAAAAAAAAAAAAATAAATTTTAATATAAAATGGAAAGAAATTCATCAAAATCATCAACGCAAGGACAAAACAATGTTATGTTTGATGATAACAATAATACAAAATCATCACCTACACCATCATCTACACCAATATTATCATCAGCAACAACTGCAAAAGAATTCAAAGTAGAAGAAGATGACGAGGAAATAAAAGAAGATGCATATAATGAGGAAACAGGAGAAATTAATTGGGACTGTCCTTGTCTAGGAGGAATGGCAAATGGACCTTGTGGCGAACAATTCAAAGCGGCATTTTCTTGTTTTGTTTATTCAAAAGAAGAGCCAAAAGGTGTTGATTGTCTTGATGCATTCAAAGAGATGAACAATTGTTTCAAACAACATCCTGATATATATCGTGATGGTAATTAATATAATTGATATTTTTTCATGATGTTTCTCTTTTTTTGCGAGTTAGTTAATTAATTACTCGAAATTTTTTTTTTAGAAAATTAAATGCATGATGATGATAACGATTATGATGATGATGATGAAGAGGATCATGA